GTCGACAATATCAGAAATAGTCATAGTTTAGTACCGTAAGTTCTTCAGAAACACAAGAAGCCACCGTCTTCATTGATGTCAGGTGAATGTCCTTGCAGTCCTGTGGGGAGAAAAGAAGAAAAAGACACCAGGAAGTCAGAATAGTAGGTACTGACTATAGAATGAAAATATCAGAAAAGACTTATAGCATGTGCAGTTAGTGACCACCAGGTGGAGCTATACACACACATCATAGCTACAAGATAGGCAATGTGCCTATGAATTAAAACTGCACCCTAACACCACTGCAGACAGAGTATATCTGCTGCTAAACATACAACACAAATGGATTAAATACCTCGAAAAACCATGTTTAAGCTAGAGAAAATGTAGAGAATCATGTATGAAGTGATGTGTGTACATTATCAGAGCCTGTAAACCGGAAGTGCTCATCCACTGACAACTACAGTAGCGAAAATATCACAGTCCATTAAAAAAAAAAGTATGAAATGTCATGGTATTTTATTATTTCGAAGTGACCATGACTCGGGTGAATTTGACAATGAGCGGTTTGTTTATTTGGCCGGACTGTAGCAACTGTAGCGGCGTTAGCATAGCTGTAAGCTAACACAGCGGGGACGTGTTTGTTTGTTTGCTTATGTGTTTGTTTGCTTATTTGTTTCGCTTATGTGTTGGTTTGCTTATTTGTTAAGTTTGTGTGGACGTTTGGCCATTGACTGACCTTTTAAATCACAGGAAACTCTAGTTATCGCTGTTTATTCCCTCCAGTCACTCTTCCGTGTGCATCTCGTGAGCTGGCGAAGTTGTTGTGAGCTGTTTCCATTGCGTCATCCGTATCAGTCAGCTGACCTTACCTATGTAGCGTCTCTGGCCAGCAGGGGGCGGGGCGTCTACAGGTCATACCATCCTGTGGGGGGGCCATGGCAGAATAAACCATCTTCATGTTTAGTTTGTTAACATTGAATTGTGCCTGCTAAAGTTCGGCTATCCATGGCAAATAATTGTCGTCAGTCATTGGAAATCGTCTTATTCTCACCTAGTTTACTTTATATTTATTCTAAACATTTCTTTATAGGCGATATATGAATGCTAATTTTTTTAATAATGAATAGTTTATCTCACATTTTCGACATAGCCAACTATGCCGTTTCTTTTCTTACATTTTTTCCATGGACAAAACATGTTTAAGCAACAGAAAATATTTAAAAATAATGAATGTATGAAATGTGTACATTATCAGAGCCTGTAACCCTGAAGTATAGTAATCTATATATGGATAGTATAGTAATCTTTGACATGTAAAAATATAGAAACATTTCTACATACAATACTATATTGTTTTTTCCCCATATTTTCAACTTCATATACTAGGTCGTTTTCTTTAAATATTTTTCTCATCATAATGTTTAGTTTGTTCCCAGAGGGGACTGTGCATAGTGCATACCAACGTTGGGCTATCCATTGCAAATAGATATTCTAATGAAAGAGCCAGTTTACTTTAAATTCGAAAACACTGCAAATAGTGTGTGTGCTATACATTTCTTGTAGGCATGTGTGTATATACACTTTCAAATCCTTATAGGCCTATATTAGTTCCTTTTTTTTGGACAATTGAATCAGTGTTTATGTATGTGTAAACCAATTTAGTAATAAACCTGATTCTGATTCATTGGACTAGTCACACACACACGCACACACACATGCACACACAAACACAAAACACTGGCAGGACACTGGATTATAGTTAGAATTTATATATCATTGCATTAAAACAACTTTAAAAGGTTTGAAGTCAACACATCTGGATTCCGTGGCAAAAAGAGTCATAATATAGTATGTGGAAAATATATTTTTATATTGTATTGCAATAACATCATCACTGCCACTGTCAGCCAGGTTCAGATGTGTGTACAGGCGGAGATCTGCATACATAAACAACATCATATTACCAAACCTTATAGAAAGAATAATCTAGACAGATAATAATATAACATGTCTCCTCAACTTTAATAATAGTAAACAGAGGAAAAGCTATATTAAACAACTAGTCTCTTTACACTAACACATTTACAAACACTCCTTTCAAGTGACTTGCAATGTTAAGTTTCCGCTAATGCTGACATTCAACTTCCTGTCCACGCATAAAGCGGAAGGATGCTTGAAACCAGCGCCATATAGAGGGTGTTTCTCAATCGCGAGTACGCTTGCTTGGTAGCACATGTCTGCCGAGCATCTTGCTTCAGAAGTGAGGCAAGAATACTTCCTGCCATTCGGAAAACAAAGAGTGGAACAGGCTAGCAAGTGTGCAGGTGTGCGTCATATGAGAGGCCCCGCCTTACATCTTCCGCCACAGATTTGGGGAAATTGGTCCGTGCGCAAAGCATTGTGGGGATTTTAAGACCGCGGAGTCTACTCATGTGCAGCCTCGATATTTCTCCAAACGGAGTACGCCGGGCTCGGTAGATTTCCAAGTATGCTGGAGATTGGAACAGTACTTCGGCGGCACTCGATGACGTAGTATGCTTGAAATAGTGGCTCTGAAGCAGCTTTACTCGCGATTGAGAAACACCCAGAGAGAGAGTTATGACAGCGGAAGTCCAAAATGCTTGATCGTCACGTGGTTCAGGCAGGGAGAGTCAATAGTTCCCCGGAAGTTCGTGGCGGGACATATGAATGCATGATTACCGGAGATAGAACTACGATTTTTGGTAATAAGTAGTGAATAAAGGTCTTGATTTGCAATATTTATACAACATACCGATATGTGTATGTATTTACATCAATATGTTTTAAAAAATAAATAGAATCTGCTAATATTTATGGATAATATTAGGAATAGTGTGAACAGCTAGTTTACTTGTTAACATATACATGTTAGGCTGTTGCCTTGGTTAAAGAGCCTGTTGCTGTTGTCATGCAGTTTGTCTGTGCCTTTTCCTCCGTGTTGTCCTGGGATATCGTCTCCACCATGGTTTGCTGTGCTGCCTGGGGATGCTCCAATCTCTCAGAGAAAGGAGTAAGAATCAGAATGTATGGCTTCCCCACTGACACAGAGAGGAGGAAAAAATGGCTAGCTCAAGTCAGCAGGAGCCATTTAACAATCAAAACAGACAGCCGCAACAAAATATGTGAGGTAATCATATTCAAACACTGCATTTGCACTTTTTCACAAAACGAAGACCACACCATTGGGAAGCTTAATGTTTGGTTTAATACAAATAACAGGGAAAGGCTTGAAAAACTCTGAGAGTTGAGACTCAGGGTGCAGGGTGAGGGTCTCAGTGCAGGTATTCAGGCTCTATTGAATCCCCCTCTGGTTCTTGTGCTGAAAGAGGGAGAAACAGACAGGAGAAAGGGTTATACACACCTATATAGCACACCTATTGGATGGGAAATTGCCTTGGGGAGATAAGGTGTGGTCTTTGTTTCCAACTGAAGTTATGGAACTTTATTATTTGTGAGTTTAACAAAGTATGACAAATGTCATCAGTAATGGATGTGATATGAATTTGTATAAAGTTGTCTCACATTCTTGGTCGTATTTTACGTACAGTATGTAATGAGTGTATACATGTCCAGTAAGTCCTCCACCTGTAACATCACTGCCCCTCCACCTGCCATACAGTAGGTTACTAATATACACTAACAAGATTACTTGTATAATACAGTGATAGAATACATGTTTAGTATGCTTACTTATATACAACAGTAGTATTACATTTACCTTGTGTTTTCACTCTCACTTTGCCATCATTTCAAAATCAGCTGTGCTGCAACATAATACAGACAGGTAATAATCAACAGAATACACTAAAAACACTCACCCATAAATTACGTTTTTGTTTACTGTTTGGAAGTCTCAAATATGCACTCTAAATTCATATCAATAGCGATGTATCACACAAATAGCTCTCTTCCTTATTATTGTGTAACGTTAACTTTATTATACTAGTTTGTAGGCCTACTCCAAAATGGAAATCGTAATTTCTCCACCTCCACTCATTACAATCACACGTGCCCCAATGTTATATTTAACTAATATTATATTCCTCCACCCCACAAAAAAATCACGTTTAGAAGCCCTTTTTCTCTAATTCCACAACGTTGGATGAAATAACATTAGGAGAACGGATTAATAGGCTGTTCATGGTTAACGTGTGTTACTAACTTTATCCGGTATCCTAGCCTAATCTGTTATCTGTAAACGTTATTAAAGGATGTTAGTGGATTATCCCTAAATCAGTAGATTTAGGGATAATCCACTAACATCCTTTAATACACATGTTCATTTGACTCAGATGTGCTGATAATATCTGCAATATAAATCTTTAAACGTCTTCTTACCTTTAAAAGTCCATCACGAACGGTCTATTATGCTGCAACTCTACTGTGTTGCTGGTCGCAATAGTTCCCCGGAAGTCAGCGGCAAGCTAACTTCCGGGGAACTATTGACGGCTCCACGATCCGCCATTGCTGTAAAAAAACTGGTCCATTGGAGTAAGATTGGAGTGAACGGAGATGTCGTAACTCTTCTATTATACGGCTCTGCTTGAAACGCTACAGACATGCTACTTCCGGTCACAGAACTAGCGTTTAGCATTTAGACTTTATGACATTAGACATTTAAACTACATGTTACAACATTAATGATAGTTAATTAAGCTTACAAAATATTACGAAACATATTTAATATTTGGACAATGTAATGAAAGGTCAATGTCGATTTTTTTTTTTTTAAAACATCATAGTATAGTATGTAAAATAAATCATGAATGTCCAAATAAGTCATAGTATACTATTTAATCGAAAAACAGGAACAAATCATAGTACAATCATTTTAAAATATCATGAAAAAAATCGAATATTATGTCGAAAATATAATCTGACTCACTACACGCATACTATTTGACATAGTATACGTTATTAACGGGTTAATTTAACATTCTTTATACAAGCGTGAAACGCCCCTCTGCAGGGCTGCCACACCCTTCATAGGCAAAGTTGAGTCATGACTGTGTAACAGGACACCAGAGCTGCTTTGCTTTTCACTGTGCACAAGAAAGCTGGGTCCACAAATACCTGCCAGCTGAAGCAGACCGTTTAAAAGTAAACTAAACTAAATTAAAACTCGAAGGAAGCAACGCTACAGTCACCATGAGGCTCTGTTTGAGGATTGTCTCCCTTCTTTTTGTTGTTACTGGGACTTTAACACAAGACGGTAAACTCACTACTTCTATTTTTATCCCAACTTGTGTTATTCCTACTTTATGTTTATGGTAGTGTTCTTGTCTCTTAAACTGAATGCCTTTTTTATTTGGTCCATAGTAAATACTCAGATAATACACAGCATAATAGTGGCTGCAAAGAAAAGCTTTTATATGTTTTGCTATAAAATAATCAGAGTTTACTACTAGTGATGGTGGTGAAAACTGTCCCATTTTCCATCATGTGGAAACTGTGAAAGGTTTGGGAAGATTAGGAAGATATCATCTACTCCTGTCCTGTGATTTAACATCCATTAAGGACTATAACTGACCCAGCTGTATTCCTCTCAGACACACTGAATGAAGAAGTGAATCCCAGATTGAGTTAATTATATATAAAATAGGTAATGGTTGCTCTTAAAAGAGGATACATTTAGGATAGTTATTTCAGGATGATAGGAGTCCTACAGGAAGGTGAGGTTCAGTTGTTCTATAATGCAAACTTGTAAAGACTTTAAAACCGAGGACATGAGTCAAGGTCCCTTAATGTTCCCCACCAAGAAAAAACTAGTAGACCACTTTTTACACTATTATTTTCAGTTTATTTGAACTGTTTAATAGTATGTTATGTTAACCTGACTCTCGTATTTGAGGGTTAAATGCTAAAGAATGTTATTTATGAATTAAATTACCCCCCTTTCTGGAGGTTCTGGAATGTGAACTCCACCCATGTTGCCAAAACCCGCCAATACTTATATATTTGCTGTTATCATAACAGTGAAGAAGCTGAAAATACAGATTAGAAAATGGACATACATTTCAATGGGGTCATTATCTAACAGACAGTTTGGGTAGGACATAATAACTGTACATGGATGGATTACAAGAATATTAAAAGACTGAACATTCAGAAAAAAACAGAAACATCTCCATGTGGAAATTAAAATAATTATAACCTGCTAAAAAAAATACAATGAATTTATTTTATATAATACTTGTACAGAATTGTCTGTGTGGTGCGCGTCTCTGCTTCCTGTTTAAACCAAGGAGAGCCGGCAGAGAAAACCACAGGCACGCACATGAGAGGAAGATGGCATGCTGTCTTGAAGTCAGTTTGGTTACTAAGTCACAGACGATGTTTGATATTTAGCACAGATTTCCATTCTGCAAAATGACTTATTCAAGTTTAATTTGCAGTAAGATATTTTTTTCTGGAATAGCATCTGAAACAGTATAAACACAAGGCCCCAAAAGAGAGCTAACACCCATATTGAAAAATATTCAAAACTGCCATAGCTGCTGTTCCCTCATATTGAGGCAGGGAAAACACATGTGAAAATATATTGTCAAAAATATATTAATATATAATAAATATTGCAATTTGTGTGTTAAAGCCTTACTAACCCACAGGCGGGACATATTGACCAGAAAGTATCCGAGGGTTGTGTCAAATGACAGAACTTCTATAAGATTATACAGAGATTTGCTCATTTAGAATGTATGTAAACAAACATGTTATTTCAGCCAAATGGTTTGTAAGTACATTCACACAAGTTCATTGTAAGATTACCCTGTGTGTGTTTCACTGTAACGCTGTTTTAAATCCTCCTGGGCAACAAAGTGTAGGCATCTGCTTCTCTGTGGGGAAACAACTCACCGAGCAGTGACTCATTTGTCAGAGCGTATCACTCAGTTGCCATAGAAACCCGCAAATACACTGTCTGACTGAAGCGTCCAACCACAGAACACATGTGCTTCCACTGTGGACACAGAGAGAGATTCAAACCATGACTCAGCTTTAACATGTTTCTATCAGTGTTGATTATTAATGTCTGATTAATGGTGTCCTCCTCACAGGATTTGACCTCTCCGATGCTCTCGGTGACGACGAAGGTGAGTGGCCGTCTCTGTGGTGCAATTTGGCACCATATTCATGCTTTTTATGAGTAAAACAGTTATGCATCCTGGGTTGGGGACGATTTAGTTGAGTTTTTATTATTCCTAAACATGGGAGATTAAGGCCAATATAAGAGCACTGTATGGCTCTAATAAAGTAGCTAAAGAAGCACTTACATCAACAGAATCATCATAACAAAATTATTATAAAATGTATTTTTTAAACAGTAAAGAAAGCCTTATAGTCCACACATTTGAATCACTCTTAAGGGGTCAAATGTTATTCCTCACTTATAGTTTTGACTTTATTTTTGACAAAATACATTTTCATCATGAGCTTTCATTCAAATGTCATTGTTGTCTTAAGGGGATGGATTTTGCTCAATTGTCAGTCATGCCCTTACATGAAAATGATTAACCTCCAACACATCTGTCTGCTGGGGAAGGTGAATGTAACACAAGCTATTAGGTGGAATTTGAAGGCTCATAGACATTGGCCTTCTGAATCATGACTTCTGTCCCTCTGGAAGCATGCGGTGGTGTCTGAACCTGTTGCCCCCTGCCTGGTTTTTCTTAGTTTGCATTGTTGGGGATGTTCTTGGGCGTCGGCATCTCTAACAATGTAGCAACCAAGTGCCAGATAGCACACGCATAGAGGGGAAAGCTACTTACAGTGGTAACATATTACATACATAGCTTCTTTTAAAAACAAGAGTAATCTATGGAATGTTTACAAACCACAGCCCACTAATCCTACTAACCTGTGACACTTTTGGTACATATGGGGACATTTCAGAGAAAATTGGAAATGCTAACTGTCAGAAACTGCTCCTTTATTTGTGTTTCTTAGTACCACTTACACCTGCGAAACCCAAAGAGGAACCGAAGGCCCCAGAGGATCCTAAAAGTGGTGGTATGTATCCTTCCACCTGTCACATTATTCCATGTGTTATTAGACAAAAAGCCTATCAGGGAAGCCACCTTTTATTTAACCTGATCACAGTATTCTCTCTTGCACACACACATACTATCACAGGAATATCTCAACATGTCATTTTATTTCAACTGAGTTTGGCTCAGTTCTAGAAGTTGTTATTGTACATTAATCAGGATGAAATTAGTGCCAACACACAGTATCAGACTGCAGTAAAAGGGTATTTCCCAAATGCCTTGTATTACCAAGACCCGACAACTGTATTCTAATCTACAACACATCATGACTTCACCACTGCATCAACCAAGGCTTAAAACCTTGACCTAGATTGTCTGTCACACACACGCACACGCACGATGTGGCTGTGTGGGTTGAGCAGGTCGCTTTTCCCCCTGCATTTGTAGATACCAATGAGCCCCAGAGGTTGTGTGACCTTTTTTGGCAGTACACACCATGAATCCAACATACAAGAATTCCTCACACGTGACATCTAGGTGTATTTCTTTCTTTTTTATACGAGTGATTTTTACGGTGTGGTTGAACCTGATGGGTTGCATTGTTAATGTGTGGTTGCATCCCTATATCGCAGCCATGAAGATGTGTGTGTGTAAATACTGTGCAAAGTGATGAACTCACTAATCCTGAACAAAAAGTATTCCTTTTAATGGAGCAGTTCAGTTCGTGTTTAATGCTTTTTCCCTCTCCTCGTCCCTCCAGGTGGGCTCGACCTTTTCGATGCATTAGCACCAGGTAAATACACGGAACACTGTGTGTGGTGTCAGGGCTTTCATACCAGGCTAAGTCTGTGCTTCTTTCTGTATCAGCTTTACATGATTTAAATATATGCATGCTTACAAATGACCTTTTGTTGTCCTTGTCTAAATAAATGTTTTTTCTGCAGATGAGCCCAAACCGACCCCTAAGCCGCCCAAGAAACCGAGCTCAGGAGATGCTGGTAGGTTTCCCACTAAGATCTCCTGGTTTGTAGCCATGTTCCCTTCCTGTTTCTCTGTGGGCTGGCAATCAAAACACAGCCAAAAGGGCCAAAAAGTAACCTAATCAAATCACAATGACATTAAATAGTCACATGTAAATTAAACAAGTGTTATTTAAGAGTGTTTAATTGTGTGTTTGTGTATTACAGGTGGTGGCGACGGATTTGATCTGGGGGATGCTCTGGGTCCAGGTGAGGGGAATGTCTCATATCACATTTGAAATGTTCTCAATGAATGGCTGAAGCTTTGCTATTATTTACAAGCATTCTAAATTGGTTTGATAGACCCCTCCCCAGCAGTCATGGTCCAATAATAGCTGCTGAAATGGTAGTTATAGAGTTTGGACTGAGTTGTCCTATCTAGCGTGTATTTGGAGTCACTGGGTCACATGACATGGAGGCTATTAAAACAAGTGATCTTCTTCGTAACTTCCAAGGCCAGGGGCATTTCATACTCTTCCTTGATAGCCTTGCTCTTGATAGCTCCTGGATGCTAATGCTACTATACAGGTTGTAAATAAGTTCTACCCCACACCCCTCATGATCTGAGGTAGTGTTACTTCCATCACATTAAAGCACGCTTTCTATTTTTGATCCAGTGTCCTAGCTGTCCTGGTATGTGAGCTAAGCAGCCAGACGGGGATGCTAGAACGAAATGCTACTTTAGCCTAGCTTAGCTTTACGCTGCAACGCGAGAACAATGCCATGTTAAGATCTGCTATATCCTATATCCTTTCATCAACTGTTATTTTAGCTGACAGATCGACAAGTTCTAGCTGGAAAAATGAGTTTACTTCTCCATTTAAACTAGACAAAGGACACTCAAATATGACTCATTTTCATAGACAGTAGCTACAGTCCTTTTGTGTAATGACACCGATGAACAAAATTCTGTATATTCTCAAACTCACTCATGTTGATTTCTGGCCTGCTTTCTTACTGTATGTCCTTAATGATTGATTTGTGCCCACAGACCCCAACCCCAAACCTGACAAACCTGTAGTGAACCCACCACCCAGCGGAGGAGGTCAGTCAGTCCACACATATCATTTATTACTTCTTTAGACTGAATTTAAATGTTAAAAAGGACACATCTGCTGATATTCTTTAGTATCTTAATCCCATGTGGAGTCAGAGTACAGCAGGTTTATCCTAATAAATGTCAACTTTAATGGTTACATTGTACTTTTCTAAAAGGTGGAGGAACTTTCGATATCAACGACTTAGCTGATGCTGCTGGTGATGGCTACAAGCCCGATGAAAGCCCAGGAGGAGGTGAGACCTAACATCACATTGGTTAAATTACGCTTAATACAGTATAGTATGAATATTTGTGTTAGATATACATATAAATGCCTCTGAACACTGGTTGTAGTTTTGAATCTTGATGTAGTTTCCTTCCTTTCTTTTTCGTGTCTGACTCATTCAAGCTTAGCGCCTCAAGAGAACCGCAAAACATGTATTTACTGTCACGGCAACGCTGACACATTCCAATCTGACCACATCTTATTCATCTATTCTCGTTGTTTTGAGGGAAGTGAGATAGTGTGCTTTCATGTTAGGGGCATTAGTTCTGCAAACCACACACACACACACACACACACACACACACACACACACACACACACACACACACACACACACACACACACACACACACACACACACACACACACACACACACACACACACACACACACACACACACACACACACACACACACACACACACACACACACACACACACACACACACACACACACACACACACACACACACACACACACACACACACACACACACACCAGTTAAAGGGTGTATTCTGAAATCATATGAGAGTGTAAGACGGTTGACAGTAAGGATGAGTATGTTGGCTAACATGCTGTGACTCACTTGTTATGTTAGTGATTTTTACCAGTTGCTACAGCATCGCTTGTATTAATTTCTCTTTGTGAGTCTCTGTCGTTCACGGGTTTCATTGGAAAAATAAGTGCCGACCGGTCCATGTGACCTGAAAAAAAAGAGAGGAAGATCTGGCGGTCAAATATTATCTGCGTTTATTGAACTTAAAATATCACTGACGTGCAAAATGGACACCAAGGTTCAAGGTTCAAGGTTCAAGGGGTTTATTGTCAATCTGACATAGCTACAGAGTAATTATGTAGTTGAAAATCTTATGTCACAGGCTTCTCCAACAATGCAACATAATAACATAATAACAATACAGAACACTGCTTTAGGCATGCTTAAGGTGGACTGACATTTATAAGGTCATTTGAGTGATAAACTGCGTATTTTAGCACGCTAGTTTATGATTTAAGAAGATGAATCCATAATGAAATAGCTCAGTAAAGGAATGGTCATACAGCCTTTGTTTTGTGTTTCTTTACTGCGGTTGAGCTGGAGCATGGAAGTCATTAGTTGTTCTTCTACGAAAGAAAGAGAGAGGAATAAAACCCACAGGCTCTGCAGTGTAATGGGAGCCACATGGCTGGTTTCAGATCACATTCTGCTGCACGGTTTACACGAAGGCAACTACAGCCTACACCCCCTCTCAGCTGGAGTAAGAAAAGTCAAACAAATGTAGAAGGGGAATCCCAGTGATGACACTAATACTTATAATACTATCAGGGTTGGGCAGGAAGTGGGACTCAGGAGCAGTGAAAAATAAGATGTCAGTTCTTTTTTACAAGAGCTGGTAAACAAAAAGGAACAGTTTAACACTCGTACAAACCAGGGAGCACGAGGGGAATACAGGCAGGACCTCATGGAAACCAGACGGAGAGACGACAACCTGACAAAGAAGACACACTCACAATCACAAGACACAGCTGGGGGGGACATGAGGGGCAGCAGGTGAACACAATCAGACAATCAGGCAGGAAGTAAAGCCAGACAAGACACAGGGAGGAATTACATTTCAAAAATAAAACAGGTATCATTAAATACAAAAATGAAATCTAAATGTTCTTTTTGAATCCAGGTGGTGGCTCGAACCCCGGCTACGAATCTAACGGTACGTCTGATATATTTCATTCTGCAGTATTGTTATAAGTTTGCTACAATACTAAATCTTCTTTGTGTCCTCATCCTAGATGGTGCTGAAGAGCCTCAAGGTAAACCCATATCTTCTTCTCTACTTCCTGTCTTTGTGTTTGTGCGTGGGAATCTTCGTCCGCTCTTTAAGTCTTGATGGGATTTCCTGTTTACGGTCTTTAGAGGAACTTGGGTTCACTGCTTCAGTTTGGTCGCCGATCCAACACTTGCTGTGGTGGTGATTAATCCGTTTAGAATTTGGCTTTGAAACCAGCCTCAGTTCACCGGGACAAACTGGTGTGTTTGGGGGTGATTTGACATCTTTGATACTTGGAACCCCGGTCTGGTTTCTGTGGCTAAAACACTGCTACGATTGTGTGTCGTTGCAGATCCAGACCTTCTGTGGGGCCAAATCCTGAAGATGCTAAATGCTAACATGCCAGAGGAATTCTATATGTGGATGTCCAACTTAAAGCAGGTCCTCACCCCTCTGTTAGAGAGGGCCATGAATCTGCTGCAAGTTATACCCTGAAGCATCTCACATCTGATTGGCTCTCAGGTTTAATAGTGTTTGCTTCAATGTGAGAGAATTGTGAAGCTGACGTCGGGACGATTACTGGGATTTTTTATTCTTTCTTGAAGGTTATTTTGAAACTGTGTAGCTAACTCGGGTACACCCCCTGTGCCCTTTGACCTCTGTTATCGTAGCACATGTCTGAACTGGAGCTGGGAGATCTGTGTATGGTGAACCCCCGCTAAAAGACTAAATAATATAGTGTTGACTTTCTCCCTGTTATTCCAGACTTACCAGACACCCTGCTGTATGTGGGTGTAGACCTACATTCATTTTATTCTCACTCCACCCAGCAGTGCCATGACTCATAATGTTGTTAGTGTGCAGACTGCAGCACAGCTTTTCTTACACAACAATACATGTTGTTTTAAAGCTTGTAGGTCGTTGCTGTCCTACGTAAAGTTTCCATGTGTGTGTGTCTTCGCACCGCACACACATACTTTACATTGCCAGCATTCAAAGCTGACAGATCCAACATGTACAGTTGGTTTTACTTCTCTTTTGTACGAAAACATCCTCACCAACTTGAAAAGTATATTTGCATTTCTCTTATCAAAGTGTGTTGGGCCATTGTCGTGCGTTTGCTCCAACGGCCACCATACTCGTCATTGGATTAACTTTGAAGAATTGGATCATATGATGTTTTTTCCCTCTGGCGTTTTTTCGATCATGAGAAGCTCTCTGTGTACTTTTCGGTTTCCGTCAGCGTATTTATTTTTGGTGTCTTCTTTGTAGTTTTTCTTACTTTTGGTCTTCATGGAGCATTGCTGCTGTGAATGCAATGTTAAGTCATGAGATGTACGATGCATAATGAATAAAACAAACATGTGGACTGATCAGAGTTGACTTCACAACGCGTCTGATTTATGAACCACGGAAGGTACACCTGACTGATTACATTGTACCTGGCACAATGCACATTTTAAACCTTTTAAAACCATTCTATCATCCACTGAAGCACACATTTAGAACACTGGCTGCATGCTCCCGCAGGCAGGCGGCATCCTGCGATTCTTTTTTCATGTCCATGCAGCGCCCTGTTTTAGCACTGAGTCACAAGACACACCTCTCCCCTCATGACTCTGCTAGTCAGTGGAGACAGGCTTATTATGTATGCAGCCAGTGTGTGTGTGTGTGTGTGTGTGTGTGTGTGTGTGCCCCACCCTGCCCTGGAGCCTGGGTGTCTTCTCTTGTAATCCAGCTCTCTAGACCTGTTCTTTCTCTTTTTTATTCACGTTGTTTGTTTTCCCACTGACTGATTATCCTCCGGTTGATACCAACTGCCTGTGTGTTTCTTATGTTCATGTTTCTTTTACATGACTATATTTAAACATTCCATACAGAGTGTTCTGGGAACTTTTTCCCAGTGTGTGTGTGTGTAGGTTCTGTCATCCAAAGTCCAAAGACTGCCACCTTGTGGAAGAGTGAGGTGATGCAGGTTACTGTTAGAATGACTCTGAATTAAGATCACATTCAGGACAGAAACGTCAATAATGATGTAGTGAATACATGACTATTGACATGTTTGTTCTGAGCATGAAGGGCCAATCAGACACAAGGATGTCCAATCATCTGTATTGTTCTTATTACAATTTTAGATTAGAACAACTTTAAAGATTCCAAATTGATTTTAGAAATATTTATCTATAGAGTACACAATATGGACATATACAGAATAAGTGGGAAAACACTATAATAGATAAACCTACTACTAAGGAGCTATAAACATAGCATATTTACATTTTTAATTGTGCAAAGTAATAATAATTGTACAATTTTTTCAGTGATTTGTTTAAAAAAAAAAGCGTTTTATTTTTTAAGCTCAATTAATTTTATTTGCCAAATGTATCGCAGTAGAAATGACCATTATTTTACACACTATCTTTATATATATTTGAATAGACTATAGAAAATTAGCTTGAATTGACATAAATAGAAAAGTCAACTTTAGTTAGGAGACATACGAGACATAACAATATATACGTTGTGTGTGTGTGTGTGTGTGTGTGTGTGTGTGTGTGTGTGTGTGTGTGTGTGTGTGTGTGTGTGTGTGTGTGTGTGTGTGTGTGTGTGTGTGTGTGTGTGTGTGTGTGTGTGTGTGTGTGTGTGTGTGTGTGTGTGTGTGTTGCAGCAGCAGGGTCTGGAAAGATTGCAGGGATTGCCAGCGCCATAGGAGTGGCTCTGTTGGGAGCAGCGACAAGTTACTTCGCCTACCAGAAGAAGAAGCTCTGCTTCAAGATACAAGGAGGTCACTACGTTACTCCTAACTCATCTGATCATATAGACAACATAAATATATCTCAACATGTCTCACTGATCACATGTTGTGTGTTTAGGTGTAGATCCAGAGAGCGCTAAAGGCCAACACGGTAATCAGTCTGATCCTCAAGGTAAGTGGAAAGATACTTATCATTATTAGCAGCTAAGCATACTCAGGGTATCATAAGTAAAAGTACAAGTGTAGTGTCCTACAGCAGGAAGTGCTCTAACTCTTTCTTCCTTTAAATGTTTCAGTTTTCAGCAATCTGCTCAGGACGTCCTAGACACAGCGTCTGATTTCTACACAAGAAAAGTCAGTGGCCTTCTCTACAAAGCGTACCTTCAACCAACCTCCAATCAACGGTCATATTTCTCTGGGTCTTTCTTAAGCCTTATTAAACAACCTAAGGAAGCAGTGTGTAGGATTTAGGGTGCAGAAATACTAATATTCCCAAACATGTTTTATAATCACTAAGAATGTTTTCATGAGCTTTCAATGTGCCCTTCATATAGGGAGTCTACATATCGCCCCGCAATGATTCAACAGCGTTCATCAAGTTTTTTTGGTCCTTGAAGGCCACCGTAGTTTGCATGTCACTAAATCGCACACACCTTTAAATCTAACTTGAAAATAAATATGGCACTTATGTTTCATCACTCTTCCGTTCACTGCTGTCATCACTAAGATGATAATAGTTTGTGTGTCACTACTGAACACATGAAATCATTGTCCTGTTTTAACAAATAAGTGTTTCTTTTTGCGGTGTCTACCAATGTTGTATTTCCCCACTCCAACATTTCTTTGTTCTTTTTGTTTTTTGTGAAGCGACCCTTTAATGTACACCTCAGTCTGCCTAAATACGGGGGATTTTCAAATTGAGCCCCTCCCTCCCGAGTTTATGTATTTAGTTTGGTCTCTTTCTGTTTCAAAGTCTTCCGTAAAAAATGATTTGGCTTTTTCAAAATAATAGTAACTAAGAACATACGGGCTTTAGTTCTTTGAGTAAGGCTTTTATTGTGAAATGTTTATCACAGAAAGCTTTGGTTTCTTATTGATGGTAGCTTAACAGCATTTTCTTTAGAATGAATAATATAATAATTATTTCATTTTGTACAGATATTAATCTACAGCATGGTACAGGCATGTTTTACCTTGTATGACATTATCATCATGTAACTGGATGCAAATCCAGCGGAAGGAGCTTTTAATATGAAATGCTGATTGTGATATGGGTTTCATTTTAAGATCTAATAAATGTAGACAGTGATGTGGTAAATGCTTAAAATCTTTTGCATTGCATATGTAAATGTAACATACAGTAGAAGCTTTTCGTTTGTTGTGTTTGATTGTCATTTGATTCCTTGAAGTTTGACTTTCTTTATGTCTTATATTGACAAAGAATCTCATGTATAATATGAAAGGTGCTACAGAGAATTAGCATCATTAGCTCATGGTTTGCTATTACAGCCCATGCTAGCATCGTTAGCAGCTAGCTACATCATTAACATAACCACTATATAAGGTTTAATGCTCCCAGCTTCACAACAAACCATGAACAAGACTAAACTTTGATTTCAGAAATAATGTTTTAGGAGTCAATCGTAGACAGATGATTTTTTGCAGGCTGCCTATCTTATCAGTTTGACTTCATGCTGATGCACTTTTTGTCGCAGTTATGATAATCAGAATCAGGTTTTATCCTCAGACTCGCCCATGAGTCATGCCTTTATTGCAAAGTATCATAAATCAGAATGATTGCCTGAGGGGATTGTTGTTATGATGCTGAAATATGAGAGTGTGAGCTGTAAATACTGGAGGATGTGGATAAATGATGCTTTCAGCTTTTACACCATGATCTGCTTTAAAGTGTTTTTGGGAGGTTTTTGTCATGTCATTTACAAGCTTAGATCTAATCCGGGTATACTAAGTCTGATATGTGTGTGAGTTTTTCAATAAAGTGGTGTTGTTGATTTACTGACTACTGATTAAAAAAACGGTTTATATACCAATTTAGTTGCATTACATTTGATTTTGCATATTGATATTTGATATAAAAGTAAGAGAAAGTAATCAGGTTACACTTCTTTTACATTGTGATTTGTATTTTAACAGAATATGTTTTTGTGCTTTATGTTCCCTCACTGTTTCCTGTAATGTGTAAAGCAGGGTGAACCCAGAGCAGAGGGCAGCTGCTGAAGGTCCACACAGTTGCACAACACCTGGCAAGATTCACTAGTTGAATGACCAGATGAACACACACACACACACACACACACTCCTCACTCCCAATACAGAATGGGATGTCACTTCCTGCTGCGGTGTCACATTCATCCTGTAAGTATTTAAGGTTCCACAGCAGCTCCAGAGATGTGATGCACCTGGGACCCCGGCTGACTGTTCCTCACCCCCCCAATGAGAAGCCTGCTGCAGTGAAGTGAAGCTAACTCATATTTTCTGGATAAAGTGAGCGGATCTAAGGCACAGAAAATGTCAGGTAGGTGATCGTTTGTGACCTAAGTGATGTGTAAAATGAAATTGTACTGCTTATTTGTTGAGTTTTCTTGAGGATTTAGTGTCCTAGTTGACCCTTTCTGCACATTTAAAGAGATTTTGAGCTGTGGTGCACACTTGTTGTTCTGTTGTTGAATTATACGGAGTGCACTCTGGTGACCCAGTTTGATTTGAATCAGAATAGACTCTCGTGTAACTCTACACGCAGCCCAGAGATGTCTTCAGACAAAAGCTCACGAGCTTCTGCCTCTGACCACTGGCCAGGAAAATGGCTCAGTTACAACTACGCTTACCCCACATGCTCCCAGCCTCATGTTCAACCATAATGGAAAACAAGGCATTAGTGTCATTTTGTGTGAAAATTGCTTTTTTAGGGTCATTCTTAGGAGCAAAATATAATAATTCTTAACTGTAAGGGTACTAAAACTGTCAAATAAAGACGTATGCAGCCACACAATCATAAATATATATATTTTGTTATTCTCAAAGTGTAGTTTTGGAAAATGATTCAACCTTTAAAGTCGATTGCTCTTTTGGAAAGTGGTAAAAACGTCTCTTAGCAACCTATTTACAGCCATTCTTAGGCTTTAAGTGTATATTTAAATTGTTTAAACCTTGTCGTGACCATTTTGTAGGTAGGGAGGCCTTCATCACCCTGGCAACCACAAACTCCTACTGCATGGGAGCTACAGTGGTGGCCAGAAGTTTGCGGCGCCACGGGACGACTCGCAGCATCGTCGTCATGGTAACACCCAATGTCTCAGAGCAGTCAAGGTGAATGATTTCATTTCTCTGGCATATAAGCTGAATATATAGCATTTGTATAATTCTCACTTACCGTGTCATGTATGTCGTCACCAGGCTGGCCCTGCAGAGTGTCTTCGACGAGGTGATCACCGTGGACGTGATGGACAGTGAGGACCGTCTCAACCTGTCCCTGCTGGGACGTCCTGAGCTGGGCATCACCTTCACCAAGATCCACTGCTGGACTCTGACCCAGTACAGCAAGTGTGTGTTCCTGGATGCCGACACACTGGTGAGTCCTGCACACACAGAAACACAACATATGTGTAATATTGTACTGTGAAATACATCATTATGTCCAATAAGTGCAGTAAAAGAATTCCATTGGCAAAAGAGCTGGGTAACTTTTATTATGAAGGAGCTTGGGGAAAATGGAAAAGCGATCTTGGTCAATGATCATAGGGAAAAACAAGGCAGATGTTGTACAAATGCAGATGTTGTACAAATGGCAGTACAGCATAAGGACATGCAGGCTCACTGGCCGTACTGTACTATCACTATCTGGAGTTATCTATCCCTATACACCAGTAAACACCCTGTCTGTCTCTTTGAGGGTCACTCATCATGTTCCTATAGGAATCAATAGCAGCACGCATGTGAGTGGCCCTTTAGGAGCATGTCCCTCTGCCTCTGTGTGCTCAGTGTCAACATGTTCTCATGTTAAACACGGAGCAACATGCAAGGTTTCTCAAGGTTGTGTGTCACAATATATCATGGCATGTCCCACACTGACCTGATGGGCGGGGTCCCCTCTCAGGTCCTGTGTAACGTGGACGAGCTGTTCCACAGAGACGAGCTGTCGGCGGCTCCGGACCCCGGCTGGCCCGACTGCTTCAATTCCGGGGTGTTTGTGTTCAGACCGTCCCTGCACACACACCACAGCCTCCTGGAGCACGCCCGGCAGCACGGCAGCTTCGATGGTAACACATGACAACTCTTCTTTCTCATTATTATCATCACCTACAATAAAGAATAACACAGTGAGACTCAAAGTTCCACATTCAACTTTATATCACTCCATCTACAATGACTACTTTTGTAATACTGGTGACATGTGTTGGCTTCAGGAGGGGACCAGGGCCTTTTGAATTCTTTCTTCAGCGGCTGGCCGGTGGAAGACATCAGCAAACACCTGCCGTTCATCTACAACCTCAGCGCCAGCTCCCTGTACAGCTACCTGCCCGCTTTCCAACAGTGAGCCTGCACACACACACACACACACAAAATCTCTCCTTACACACATTTCACTTATTACAGGTTCTCGCTCTGTTTTATCCATCACAAGTTTCAAAGGCCTCATTGCTGTAGTGTAGCCCATCATTTATATCCGTTAAAATAACACCGTAATCACTAAAGTAACTGCTCCTTTCTATGGTATGCCGATACACACCAATTATATTACATCTACTCTTCTGCAGTGTGCACAAACATCCTGAGCTACAGTTTGCTCCTGCAGGTTTGGCCACGATGCAAAGATTGTGCACTTCCTAGGATCAGTGAAGCCCTGGAGCAGCAGCAGCCAGAGGGAGGGCGGCCACTCAAACATGGAGCAGTTTTTGTCTCTGTGGTGGAGGGAATACCGCAGCAACACGGAATCATCTGCAGCAGAGACGCCACAGCAGGTACTTGAGTGAATCTACTCTCCACCACTTGTGTCACTCCTGGTTGTTGTGCAGGAAGTCAGCCATGGTCCATGTTTGGCAGAGGCTCTGCAGATTTCCCCTCCACACACTGGAGCAGAACATCCCTCAGATGAGTCCCCCCTCTTCAGCCACAGAGTTTGGCGGGAGCGTAGACATGGCCGAGCAACCAGATGCCACACACATGGCTGCCTGGCTTGGGACTGGTTGTTTTCCAAACACTAAACACCCTCCCTTGTTTTGCAGACCCAAAAGAAAGAAGCTAAGATGCCAGTTGTGCTGAAGATGAAAAAGAGAAAGGCCAAGTTGCCAGTGAAAGGAAAACTGGTCAACTCTGGTCCACTGGCAGCACATCTTTCCCCGCTTCAAAAGGGACTCCATGCACCGCCTGACCCAGAGATAGTAAGCAAATCCATCTGTTATGGGTCACTAATGGATATTTTGTTGATATATGTAATTATTAGCTTATTGTTTTCGTTTTTTCCAGCATAAGTAGCTATTTTTAAGGGAAAAAGGTGCGATATTTTGAGGCCAAACACGTTTATGTGGTATCTGCAGCCAGACACCACATATCATATAGTACAGCGGATAAGCTCTCATATTATAACAATTGTGCATTTTATGAGAAAAGCATGACATTTCTAACATAGTTAGAGCATACCATAAGGTTTATTTTCAGATGTGGAGGGAAGTCAGATTTGACCCGTGAGGACCGTGAGAGGTCAAATCCAAGATGGCCGCCAGTCTCTCGGGTCAAATGTTCAAACACGCTTAATTTTGGAACCAAACATTGCAGAAAAACATTTAAGGTGTCATATCCAACTAAATTAGGGATGCCCAATCATTTGGTGATACTTTTGAGATCGCCAGAATTCAAGAAAATGCATTTAGGTGAAGATAAAGGTAGAAATTGACCAAAAATAAGCTGTCAATCAGTTGAAATTTGCAAAATGTGTGTGTGTGTGTGTGTGTGTGTGTGTGTGTGTGTGTGTGTGTGTGTGTGTGTGTGTGTGTGTGTGTGTGTGTGTGTGTGTGTGTGTGTGTGTGTGTGTGTGTGTGTGTGTGTGTGTGTGTGTTGTGTGTGTGTGTGTGTGTGATGTGGTATAGTATATTCCAGTGGATTTATGGTCACCCAGCGCTAGCATTAATACAGAGACTGGAGGAATATGGCTTTACTTGGCACAGTCTGCATGCTGAAGAAATCATTTGTTTTTGGGTTTTTTTTTGTCTTCAAATACATACTTACATGATTGTGACGAGCATAATATTTGTTCCCTGCCCAACTCTCTAAGTCTAAGTGCTTGAACTCCGTGACAGGAGGATGAAGTATGTATAAATGGATGGAACTATCAACAAAACAACAACAGCGTTTTATTCCCCAATGTCATATTTAATAGAAAAATAATGATGCACCTCTTATTGGAGAAAGAAGAATGGGGAACAGAAAGGTTTAGAAGGGGACAAAATGCTGAAAGAATGTAAACCAAAGAGGGAGTTGGAAAACAGTTCCATGTAGAGCACAAACAGCTCTCTTAACCCTCGCTGTTATAACAAAAGGCTGCACTCAACTATAAGGTTCACCGCTGTCTCTTTCCACTTACAGAGGGTTGGGATTCGATTCCCTGCCTGTCCACCTATAAAACGCCCAAGGTAGCGCAGCTTTTTTTCTATTCTTTAGTGGCTCACATGGACACTTAGAGGTCATGCAAAGAAAGGGTTATGTCTGTTGTGTGTGTGACAGAGAGTGCAGAGAGAACATGGACAAAGGGGATTTGTTTGTCCTTGCATGGCTGTACAATTACAAATACAAAGATTTACCCATTTAGACTCCATGGTATGGAGAAAAAAACTCAGTTCCATCCATTTATACATACTTCATCCTCCTGTCACGGAGTTCAAGCACTTAGGCTTAGAGAGTTGGGCGGGGAACAAATGACAGCTTATTTTTCACCTTCACCTAAATGCATTTTATTGAATTCTGGCGATCTCAAAAGTATCACCAAATGATTGGGCATCCCTAATTTAGTTGGATATGACACCTTAAATGTTTTTCTACAATGTTTGGTTCCAAAATTAAGCGTGTTTGAACATTTGACCCGAGAGACTGGCGGCCATCTTGGATTTTACCTCTCACGGTCCTCACAGGTCAAATCTGACTTCCCTCCACATCTGAAAATAAACCTTATGGTATGCACTAACTATGTTAGAAATGTCATGCTTTTCTCATAAAATGCACAATTGTTGTGCTTATCCGCTGTACTAATATGTCTGCCCGGCCCAGGGACTGGTTCCATCACTAAACGTCCTCCCTTGTTTTGCAGGTCCAAAAGCGAAAAGCCAAGGTGCCAGGGAAAGAAACCTCAAACATTTCAAATTCAAAATTGCCCACAAATCTTCCCCCTCTTCAAAACGAGCTCCGTTTACCATCCGACCCAGAGACCGTAAGCTGCTGCACCTCTTCACTTTTGTGTTACTGCTTATATACTGTTATATTAACATCTTATTAACGTCTGATTCCTTGTCTTAAATATTCTTCTGTGTAGATTTAGCAATTGGAAATCCAAGATAAATGCCTTATTTCTTGATCTGACAATTAGATTTGTATCATATCCTACACAGGTCCCCCTTTCAAAGTGATTAATTTGCTCTAAATTAGTAGCATCCTAGCTTAGCATAGAGACTGGATGCATAGGGAAACTGCTAGCTTCATCAGAAGAAAACAAAGTAGTAACAACAATATTTTGTGAAGCCGAGCAAGTGGTCATTAGACATATTTGCAGTCAATCCATGAATTAGCTTAATGAATGACCTCATTAGCATAGCTGTGCATGATTTTTTCCAAACATCATGGTGATTGTTAGGGAGGTATTTAGGCAGCTCAAGCGCCTCTTGTCACAGAGTTTGGCAGGAAAGTGGACATGCAGCCAGACGCCACATATGGCTGCCCGGCCCAGGGACTGGTTCCATCACTAAACATCCTCCCTTGTTCTGCAGGTCCAAAAGAGAAAAGCCAAGGTGCCAGTGAAAGAAAACTCTAACATTTCAGATTCACTGCCCGCAAATCTTCCCCCTCTTCAAAACGAGCTCCGTTTACCATCCGACCCAGAGACAGTAAGCCCAGAGACAGTAAGTGTCACTGCTTATATAATGTCTGATTCCTTGTCTTAAATATTCATCCGTGTAAATAGATGTTGCAAATGGGGATACACGAAAAATGCCTTATATCTTGATCTGATCATTCGATTTGTATAATATCATATACAGTTTTTTGCTCTCCCTTTCGAAGTGATTAATTTGCTCTACATCCCCCCCTTGTTTTGCAGATCCAAAAGAGAGAAGCCAAGGTGCCAGTGAAAGAAATCTTGGACATTTCCGATTCCCTACCAACGCCTCTTCCCCCTCTTCTTAACGTGTTCGATTTACCGTCTGACACAGAGACAGTAAGCTGATGCCTCTGTTCACCTTTGTCTAACGTCGCTGCTGGATATAACACAAGGTGTTGCTCATAGGGACAAAGTCCGAATAAGTATCAGAACTTCATGACATACAAGAATCAGACATACGCATACAGGGTTCAAACAAGGACTTAACAGGATAGCAGGACTTACTGTATGTATGATGGACTAATGAGGGGATGAAGGTCAGGTGTGCTGGAGGTCAGGTGGTTGCAGCGATGATGGGGAAGCAGTAGGAACTAACTAACTAGGCCAGGATAGCCGATCAAAACTGATGGGAAAACACTGAAAGAAAGGAAGTAAAAACAGACATTAGGTGAAAATACTTTTCAAAATAAAACAGGTAACAGAACAACCAAAGACTAGCCTCATGACCTTTATGGCTCACACACTTCTATAATCAGACGTTCTAGTAGCAGCTGTTGAATTAAGTTGCTGAACTAAGTGAAGGGACAGAGATGTTTCTCAGGAGGGGGAGGAGACACAAATTGAGCTAAAAATGTGATTATTGGAAACATGTTGTTCCGAGTCTGCTGCATGAGAAAATAGGCCACTGTTGCCCTACACATACAGAGATGGGTCTATAGCAAGTTAGCCTAGCTTAGCATATAGACTGGAAGCAGGGGTGAACGGCTAGCTCCATTAAAATAAAACGTAACTCGGAGTTCATTTGAAATATTTTGTGCAGCCGAGCAAGTAGTCATTAGACATATTTGCAATCAATCCATGCATTAGCTTAATGAATGACCTCATTAGCATTGCTGCTTGTGTTTTTAATACATCACGGTGATTGTGATGGGGGTATTTAGGCAGCTCAAGGGCCTCGTGTTAGCTCCTGTTCATTTACCATTTCTGCTCGACTGCCTCTGACTTGAGCTGAAAAAGAAACACGGTGTCTGTTATCTGTCACAGCTTCTCACTGCGTTGGTTTCATTCATTTCCACTTGATGCATTGTGCTTAAACAAGCTTGTAAGATAAGCTTGAGCAGACCATGAGCATACATCAACAGTGTTATCACGCAGTGCAGGAGGAGAGCTCATTCGGCTGCCATTATTGTGCTAAAGAATGACAGGAGTGTGTGTGTGCAGGGTTCTGAGGAAGAGTCCCCCCCCAAAAGGACCCAGACCCAGGACCTGGCTTCAGAGGAAGAGGAGCCTGAGGACAGCGATGACCTCTCTGACATTGAGGAACTTCCTGTACGTTTCACTACCTGCTTCAAATACTGCTCAGGGTTAAAGCCTTTGTAATGTTCAGTGGTGGGGGAATTATTCAGATGGATAAGTTAAAGTACCAATATGTAGAAGTACTCCATCAAAAGTACAATATCATATGTAATAGTACTAATTCCGCAGAAAAAGAATCCTCCATATCTGATATTTTATTACAATATTAAGGTGGCAATATTGTGGCGTAAAGTAGCATTTTACTGTTGTAGATACACTGTAAAAAGTGTGTCACTTGTATCTAAGTAAGTCTGCTAGATAATTTAGTGGAGTAAAACTATATCATATTCCTCTGTACTGTAGCATAAAGTAGCATTAAAGGGTAATACACAAGTAAAGTACAAGTATGTGAAAATAAGTATGATATTTGAGTAAATGTACTTAGCTAAATTCCACCACTGGACTCAGGTTAAAGTGTTTAAAAGAAGAGCATGAAAGAAATCAAGCTAAACATGTGCCTGCTTTTCCCTCCTGTTTCCCCCCTGTTGCCCCCCCCCCCCCCTCCCCGATGTTGTCAGAGGGCCGAGGAGACGGAGGCCGAGCGGCTGGAGCACCGCCAGCTGTGGGAGGCGGGCCAGGCCGACTACCTGGGCCGAGACGCCTTCAAGAACATCCAGAAGATGCTCGACCGCTTCCTGGACTAACTGCTCACACACAGGAACCACTCTGCAACCAAACACACCTGAGCCAGCGATTAGTCTAGGCCCAGTGCTCATAATACACGACTGATTTATGACTAACTAATAAAGCATTTTTGAAATGTTGTAAAACACCAACATCTCCACATTGTGAGTGTTCCAATTTTCAATAGTGGGGATTATTTGTTTTGTTTTTGTGGAACTAAATCCCAATTTCCTCATGTCATTTGAGTGAGATAAACAGAAAACTGTCACATGCAGTGAGTGTATTCTTCAAACAGGGGGCACTGTGGCTCTTCTTCCAGAACGCTCCACCATGGAGAGCAGGAAGACCTGAAGAGATGCTGTGTGATGCTTACCCATCATGGTGCATGTCCTTTTCATACGCTTCCTCCTATGACAAGGCTCTATAAGGCAACCTGGTCCCAGCTTGACTCTCATCCATTAAGCTCTGAAAAGGCAAATAGAGTCCCTTCAGATGCTGCTGGGAATACTTAAGTTGACTTCTACAGAAGAAACTACAATATACATGAAAATGGTAATGCTCAAGTTTGTCATAATAGTATGTACCTTGAGTAAATGTACCCAGTAGTTTGCTCTCAGGTTGAGTGTGAGACGTGTCCTTGTAATGATCAGCTGGAGTCCACTCCTGTGTTTGTGTTGTGTGTGATTAGCATAAATATGACCTGTCAGCCTCCTGCTGCTAATTACAAGCAGGGGAGGACAAAGTGTGTCCTCACATGCAGCACACTGATACTGATGAACCAGAGAGGCTGTCACAGCTTCTATATAATCACAGTAATACTATTGAAACCAGTTCAGAAGTCAAGCTGCAGTTTGTTTATGGATCAACAATAAACAAGATGTTTTAATGTGGGGGCATTTCCTCATGATTAACCCCAATTGCAGCATTTGGTTCTCCTTGTACAAACAAAGCTTTAATACTAACAAACATGTATCTGTTCTACAACCTAGAGGCATGAAGGGCCATTTTGACCTATAGTCCTCTCAGACCCTTTATAACAAACCCTCTCTGACTCTCCCTCAGCACTTTGTCCCTAAGGGAGAATCAACCATTACTTTGAAAACTCAACTACATCGACAATTCAATGGATCATTCGACATGATTAGCCGTGCTCGAGGGTAGGTTTGATTTCCACTCCTCTGCTCTGCAGCTCTTATGATGCACGGCGCTTGGAATTACTGAAGGCCGAGGAGAAGTAACCGAGGGCATGTTAATGATTATTGAATGCACCATGACAAGCTGAGGAAAATGATATTGTACAGCCTGAAGCCATGCTTGGGGCTCACCCATGCTAATGATGTTCAGGTATAATGATAACCATGTATTTTGTGTGCGTTGGCATGCTCTGTTTGTTGCCATATTATACATATAAACTTTATAAAGTAAGAATGTGTTGATATTTTGTTAGGAGCTTGAAATGCTGCCAGGAAGACCACCAATAAAAGTGGTTTTAACTTCCTGATGTTCTGCAGGTTTAATGATGAGTTCAGCAGTTACCACGGTAACATTAGGTAATTAGCTCTAACGAATAGCAAAGGCTCTACAGTTCTAGAATTATAAATGAAACTTCTAGAATGTTAAATTACAATTCTTGAATGTGAGGGTTGTCAACCTGTCGAGGTGATGTTGGAGCTAGATGAAGTTGGGGTATCATTAAAAGGATAACATTCATCTTGAGGGGACATTAATGTGAACCAAGGTTAGCAGGCTGCTTCCTCCGGAATATTTCAAACTTTACCACAGTTGTTGGGATATTTAAGTCACCAACACAAGAGGACTTTGTAACCCACAGAGCTCCACCACTAGTGTGGCCAATAAAAATGGCCAGTTATTCATTTCCCCACCTCTTGCCAGTAAAGTTTACATGCTTAAATGGTTTCTAGGAGACTCCTCACTGAAGTTGAACTCATCAATCAACAGTAATGTCAGCCTTCAGAGAAAATCTGCTGTTAGTTTGAATTTAATCTTCAAATACATAACTCAGACAGCCTTCAGCCGCACTTACGTAATCGGCACTGACACGACACTGACCCCGCAAATAATTCCCCTTTATACTGACCCAGTCTGTTTGTACTGACACCCATATGTGCTTCCAAGAAATGCCACCTTAGTGGGGCAGATCAAGGCAAATCTCAGGGAGGATGAAACAGAGCTTAGACAAATAACCAGAACACTATTTGCCGAAGCTTCCCCCCTTCTCTTGTTTAGTCTTTATTTTCCATTCGCTCTGAGCGTGTGTACATGAACAAATAGTCTTGATAAAGCCCCCATCTGGAACTCCTCTGTGGCTTGATGAGAACACTCAGGATGGCGGCGTGTGTGTGTGTGCGCGAGGGAATGAGTGTGTGTGTGCAGGTGTAGGCTCCAGCCATCAGACACACAGCGTGGACCAGAAAGAAACGTGAGCTGTCAGAGGACTCTAAGCAGCTCCATATGTTTTTTGGGTCTCCGGACCGCCCTCTCCGCTCATCATGTGTGGGAGCCGTCGCATGACTAAGTTGATTCATGCTCAGATAATTTGATCAGTGGTTCAACCGCTGGCTTCACATTCTAATGAACCCCAATCTGCGATCAGGCTAATTGGGAAGTAATGACAGTCAGCTGTGGAGGAGATCTGTTCCGATTCGAGGTGGGGTTCAGCAGCTGGTTGGAGATCAGTGGACGGATGCTGATAGGAACTGGGCCACAAACCAAACCAGTTTCCCAAGAACTCTATTTAATGGACAGATGCATCTTCTGGAACATTCAACGTGTTACCTTTTCACACGCCAAGATCCATTTTTCAGAGAGCTTGTAAAAAGATTTTTACAGTTGGTGTTTCTGCTTCTGGGGTCCAATTACATACCAATTGTGTGAATCCTTTCTGACCCAGGAAGAATATAAAAACAACCGTCAGCCGCATGTTGGCCTGCAGACATGTTCACATCTGCCCGTGGACTTAGACCCTTAATTCCTCGAGGGAGAAGTGAACCAAAGGTCCAAAGATAACAGCTGCCGGACCCGGAGACAATCTTTGGGGAAGTTTCTGTTCTAAGTAGCCTAGCCGATAACTTCGCGAATCTATCATTCTTTAAAAAAAAATTGTATACAGCTAGGCATCAAGTAGGCTAGTTCTAAAAGATTAAAATATGAAGTCATGGCAATTAGCGGTGGAATTCAAGTAATCCTCGGGTAACATATTACAAATATATAACAGAGATGTATCTGATTGAAGGGTCCTGAACAAATAAAAGCTTTGACAATTCTCTACTTAGTGAAGCCTTATCTTTGGAAATGTATCCGAGTCTTAAATCACATATTTTTCTGTTTCTTAGTGCGGTGAACAATCCATTCATTTTCATCCAATTTTCCTCTGCAGAACTGATTTGATAATAATAATATATGGCAAGCTTCTCAATGCATTAGTGAGACATTTTCTTAAGTACAAATACAAAAGTCTCTGTGTTCTTAAAGCTTGTCTCTGGTGGATAACACACCAGAGCTCGTAAAAGAATAAATATTTTACCTCGTTTGATTTCAAATTAATGTAAATATGCTGATGTGGAACTATTCCAACTCCTTGGATAATAGCTATAGTAAAAGTCAGAATTCTGAATGAATTTGTAGAAAACAGGCCCATTTACTGAGCCCACAATACCAACGAGCCACACATGTGACAGCTTTTTCCACTTATGCATTTTATTTACTGAGACTGATGATCATACGATTTATTATGCCCGCACTCGTGACAAAAACAAGCCATATATCACACTCAGAGTTAGCTTGATGCAAATGTTGTCAACATCACAGCAGAGGAGGTGTTAGCTCAAGACGCTTTCAACACCAACACGTCTACAGCGTGTTCTCGTGCACGGCAGAAAGAAGACACTGCTTTAAATTCAGCTCCTCTGTTGCTCAGACACGAGGCGCCTTGATGTTCCCGTGTATTGATGGTGTTGCTGTATAGCTCCCTCGTGCCGGCTTTGATTCGTCAATCAGCCGCAGAGCCATGTGAATATCTGCAGCCATTCATAAATCACAGTCCTTACCTCACTGATGTTTCCCTTCTTTTTGTTGCATTTGAGCAGAAATTATGCCTCCATTAGAACTAATCAGTGGCATATTACACAGTATATTTAGACACCGACATTTATTTACAAACACTAGTTTCTAGTTACTTTAGGTCCATATTTCTTGATAATACTATATTCTGAGTTATGATCCATGTTTATAGATTAATATACTGAGTAGTATAACACGTCATTGAAGTTATCTCCACTTTTACTAGCTGCAAAATGTAAATGATGTCAGTTTAATGATTATAATCCAATAATATAATATGTGTTAAGCTCTCAGAGAGTGACCAAAATGAATCCGAAACTAAGGTACGATACAGAAGCAGGGTTCAATGTGGGCATTGTTGCTCACCAGGGCAGGGTAAGACGGTCAAGGGTCCAGACGGAGATGAGGACCGGGCCCTATTCAAGTGTAGGTGGCAATCAGGAAGAATGAGCAGCAGCTGATTGGTGTAGAGGCAGGAAGGGGAACCCAGGTCAGCCACGCCCAGCCAGGGAGACACAGACAAACACAGAGAAAACAGGAGGGAATACTTTGGATCCTAACAATATGTATTATGCTGACTAATTGCCAGTGAGCATTCAAATATATTTGAAATACAAAAACTAGTACCTTTACTTTAATGAATGCAGGTTTTTTACTTTCAACCGTCAACACAGTGGGGTATTACTACGTTTACTTCAGTATTACATGTGACTTCTTCCACCCCTAGCCTGAATCCTTTGAATACTAAGTCCCTAAGTCAGAGCGGATACATACAGGAAAGTAACGGTGGTTATAAACAGCGTACACATCCGGGCGCGTGGCATGACTTTACGCTGATGACTGTCTCTTTCAGTAATTAGAGTAATCTACAGACACACGTAAAAGGAAACAGGTGGGTGCTGCATGTGAGCGTTTCCAAAGTGAATGAAGCAGGTTCTGGGTCACAGACAGACAGCTTCATAACACAAAGAGAGGAGAGCGCTGCGAGCCATCTGGATACGCTGTCAGGCTCCTTCGGCCACAGGGGAAAAACATGCATCACTGCAGACTAATCACTTCTCACAGTGG